TGTGGTGGCGTGTTGTCTATAGTTCCAGGTACTTGGAAGGCTGAGGCGGAAGGATCACCTAATCCCCAGCCGGTCACGGCTGTGGTGGCCATGTCACTGCACTCCAACCTGGGCGACAAGAGTGAGACTCCAAAAAAAAAAAGAAAGAAAGAAATGAGCCGGGCTCGGTAGCTCAGCCTGTAATCCCGCGCCTTTGGGAGGCTGAGGTAAGTGGATTGCCTGAGCCCGCGGGTTCGAAACCTCATCTCTACAATAAATTAAAAAAATCAGCCGGGCGTGGTAGCGTGCGCCTGTAATTCCGGCTACTTGGAAGGCTGAGGCGGAAGGATCGCCAGAGTCCAGTGGGTAGAGGCTGCGGTGGCCGGGAGCGGCCACTGCACTCCAGTCTGGGCAACAGAGTGAGACTCCAACTCAAAAAAAAAAAGAAAGAAATGCAGTGTCTTGGTCCCCACCCCGAGCCACCCATTCAAGTTCACTCAGAGGCATCACTCTTTTTTGGGCACAGATTGACACCTCAGCCAGTCTGAAAAAGTTAAAGCTTTGAGGCCAGGCATGATGACTCATGCCTGTAATCCCAGCATTCTGGGAGGCCAAGGCAGGAGGATTGCTTGAGCCTAAGGGTTTGAGATTAGCCTAGGCAACATAGCAAGACCTTGTCTCTACAAAAATAAGAGCAAATAAAAAAAACTGGGCATGCTAGTGCATGCCCATAGTCCCAGCTACTTGGAAGGCTGAGGCGGGAGGATCACTTGAACCCAGGAGGTCGAGGCTGCAGTAAGTTTTGACCGTGCCACTGCACTCTAGCCTAGGTGACAGAGTGAGACCCTGACTCAGAGAAGAAAAAAAAAGTTTTGTGTAAGTATTAAAAACCTTAAGTATTCATTCCTTTTGACTCAGAAATTCGAATTCTGGGATGCTATTCAACATATGGAAAAAGCTTGGCCCATAAAAGAATTCATCACTGTACTGTTCATAATAGTGAAAAATTAGAAACAACCTAAATGTCCAAACAACAGGTATCTGGTTAAATACATCTACATGGTGAAAGATTTGAAATATTAGTTTGGTGCAAAAGTAATTGCGGTTTCAGACTATGAGTTTTAAATCATCATGACCAGGTTCAAATACATCTTTGTTAATCAAAATAGGAACCATTACAATCAACACATTTTTGCCAATGAGACATAAGTTTATTTATTCCTGTAGGGTAAAAATCTGTGCTTCGGGATTCGACGAACTCTTGGAAAGCATTTTCTGCATCCTGCTGGTTGTAGAAAGCATTTTCCCTGCAAAAAGTTGTTGAGATGCTTGAAGAAGTGGTAGTTGGTTGTCAAGAGGTCAGTTGAATATGGTGGATGAGGCAAAACTTCATAGCCCAATTTGTTCAACTTTTGCGGTCAGACGTTGTCTTGGAGAGGATTGGGCCCTTTCTGTTGTCCAGTGCCAGCTGCAGGCATTGCATCTCAACAATTTGCTGAGCATACTTCTCAGATGTAATGGTTTCATCGGGATTCAGAATGCTGTAGTGGATCAGACCGGCAGCAGACCACTGAAGAGTGACCATGATCTTTTTTTGCTGCAAGTTTGGCTTTGGGAAGTGCTTTGGAGCATGTCCTTTGTCCAACCACTGAGTTAGTGATCACTGGTTGTCATATAAAATCTTCTTTTTGTCCCACATCACAATCCGATCAAGAAATGGTTCATTGGTGCGCAGAATAAGAGAAGATGACATTTCAAAAACGATGATTTTCGCCCAGCTCATGAGGCACCCACTTATCAAGCTTTTTCACCTTTCCGATTTGCTTCAAATGCCGAACGACCATAGAATGGTCCACGTTGAGTTCTCCAGCAACTTCTGGTGTAGTTTTAAGAGGATCCGTTTCGACGATTGCTCTCAGTTGGCCATTGTCAACTTCCAATGTTTGGCCACTATGCCCCTCATCTTCAAGGTACTTGTCTCCTTTGCAAAACTTCTTGAACCACACTGCACTGTACGTTCATTAGCAGTTCCTGGGCCAAATGCATTGTTGATACTGCAAGTTACCTCCTCTGCTCTAAGACCCACTTTGAACTCGAATAAGAAAATCGCTCGAATTTGCTTTTTGTCTAACATTATTACCATGGTCTAAAATAAATATAAAATAAACAGCAAGTAATAAGTCATTAGCAAAATAAATAAATAAAACGAGAAATGCACGTTAAAATGATGTATAACATAACCATAGTGACTAAGAATGCATTCCAATATCACATGGCAAATTTCAACTGGCAAAAACCGCGATTACATTTGCACCAACCTATTAATATAGAACCCGTTTATGTGTTCATGGAAAGAAGCAAAATTCAACTATGTAGGAAAAAAACTGCAAGTCGAAAAAAAGGTTGGAAGGAAATCCCAGAAAAAGTAATATATGGAACTATATAGGGTAAGTTTTTTCTATTAAAAAAGCAATTTTTTTTGGGGGGGGTAAAGTTTTACAGTGAGTACGTACCTTTTTAAGCAACCTATCTCTGGAGAAACCAGTATAAATTGGGTCAGAGGCCATCACTTTTGCATGAGAAAGGCTTCACACAGATGGAGGGACTTCAGGCCCTCCAGGGTCCCTTCAGGGTCTCTTTGGTGCCTGGCAGACAGGCCAGGAGAAAAGGAACCACCACTGTCTTATGTACTACTTAATCCCCTGCACCCAGCACAGGGCCTGACATATAGTACGTGCTTAATCAAATATTCGAGAAAGAAAGGAAGGAACTCATTTCATTCAAACCTCTTAAAAACCTGTGACACAGCTATTATCCCAATGCAATTTTGTTTCCCTACTACAGATCCCTTGCATGATAGAACTAGTAAATTTTTTTTGTAATCTCTATATTTGTGTGATCTCTGAACACAAATAAGTGCTCAAAGAATGTTGAATAAATTATGATCTTAATATTATAGATGGGGAAACTGTCCGTGTTCATACAGCTAAATCCTGGCAGATCTGGGATTTAAAACTCAGTGAGTTGGGCTCAGTGCTGAGTGCTTTTTTGGCAGAGTCAGCCACATAAGGCAGGTCCTTGGTTCCAGGTGCTCTGAGACTCCTGGCCTCTGCAGACACCCACGTGGCCCTGCAAGCCCCCCTGGCTGCCAAGGTTCCGAAGCAGGAGGGCACAGCAAGCTGTCAGCTCAAGCCACTTCCCTGATGGGGAGATGGGGCCCTTGCATGTAATGATTTGGACAAGCAGAAAAGGCAGTGGAGGGCGTTGCTGGCAGGGACACTTCTTAATTAAAGGCACCTGGGAGAAACCAAAGGCTGATCTATGTGACCTTCTCTGTAAGCCTGTGAGTCACTCACAGGAATCTGGCTTTCCGTCCGGAACCCAGTTGGGTACCTCACGTATGTTTACAATGGAAGGATGGATGGAGGAATGGATGGATGGGTGGATGGGTAGGTGGATGGATGTTTATGAAAGGTAGGATCAAAGTTAAAGGGCTTTGGAAACAGACAGGCCTTGGTTTGAATCCTGGGTGTGCCCCTGTCTATGGTGCCAGCTGAGTATGTTATGCCACGGCTCGAAGCCAAGGTCTCTGAGATCTCTGGAGGCTTCTGTGATAATTACATGATACATAAAAGTGTTGAACCCAAGGCCTGGCACACAGTAAGTGCTCAAGAGGCAGGAGTTGCAGTCGTCTTCATTGACCAGAAGGGAAATGCAGAAGACACAGCATGGGGGACTGCAGTTGGCTGTCTTGCTGTCCTTTCTCTTCCTTCCTAGAAATGGAACTCGCCTTTCTTTTGGGAAGCCCTGTGATTTGAGTGGCTTAAGCCAATCAGCATACTTTATTCTCTCAGGCTGCTGTGATTGGTTCAAGGATGTGTATGCTATTTAAGCAGTCCAATCAGAGTGTACTACAGAATATTTGCTAAGAATGCCAGACTAGCCGGGCTCGGTGGCTCAGCCTGTCATCCCGCGCCTTTGGGAGGCTGAGGTGAGTGGATTGCCTGAGCCCGCGGGTTCGAGACCTGCCTGGGCAGCGAGACCTCATCTCTACAACAAATAAAAAAAATCAGCCAGGCATGGTAGTGCATGCCTGTAATTCCGGCTACTTGGAAGGCTCGCCGGGGCCCAGCAGGTCGAGGCTGCGGTGGCCGGGAGCGGCCACTGCACTCCAGTGTGGGCGACAGAGTGAGACTCCAACTCAAAAAAAAAAAAAAGAATGCCAGACAAGTCTCTTTCTGCATTGACATTGCAAAAGGCAAAGTAGAGACAGAAAGAAACACTGTTAAGCTGCTAGATGGAGCCTTGCCTGAAGCTGGTGATACCTGAACTTTTCAGTTACATGAGCCAATCAATTTCCTTTATGTTTAAAGCCTAGTTCAGCCAGATTTTCTGAGGCCAGCAGTCAAAAGCATCCTGAATGTGGAAAGAATGAAAGAAAAAAGACACATAAATGGACTAAGAAGATGAGCCCACAAGTGTTAAGTGGTACCAAGCCGTAAAAGCAGCAGTTCCCAACTTTTCTGGCCTCAGGAACAGGATTCATGGAAGACAGTTTTCCACAGACAGAAAGGGGCAAGGAGTGGGGGAGGGACCATCAGAGATTAGATTCTCATAAAGAAGACACAGCCTAGATAGATCCCTCAATGTGCACAGTTCACAACAGGGTTCCTGCTCCTATGAGAATCTAAACACCACCACTGATCTGACAGGAAGTGAAGCTCCGCCCAGCTCGCTGCTCACCTCCTACTGTGTGTTCCTAGCAGATCATGGACAGGTACCGTGCAGCCCAGGGGTTGGGGACCCCTGGCAAAAGATGCCAGAAACTGGGGCTAAATTTTAGCTAGTATTTCCCATTTGACGGATAAATAAACTGAGACCAGAGGGTCAAACATCAAGCAACTTGTCTAAGAGTACCCAAGTTAGGTAAGTGTGAAGCTGGAACTAGAAGCCAAGTCCTCTGATTCTCAACTCAGTGCCCTGTCCCACCACACAGGTACTGTACCCATGGAGAAACATACCCCATCCGAGGGCGACAAATCCCTGGAGGTACTTCCTTTCGGAGAAGGAGATGACGAGGAGTGTGTGAAGGTAGAGGCCTTCCACCAGCAACCAGGCGTAGTTGGCCATGATGCAGTACTGGAAGAACACCATGACCAGCTTGCAGCCCACCTGGACAGGGAGAGGCAGGTGAGCCCAGGCTAGTGACTGTGAGTTTCCCTCTGGTGGCCAGCCCCAAAGGAAGCAAGAGGGTGCTGCTGGGGAGAAGCCCAGCAGCAGAGTGAGCCTCTGGGGTTCAAGGGCATCTCCTGTGGCCGCCTTCTTCCCTCTGAAGACCAGGCCCCTGGAATTCTCTAGAGAATAGAAGTCCACAGGCCCAGTGGGTACAGTCAGGATGTCTATGAGCCATCTTAGGAGCGGGAACTAGGTTCAGATTCTGGGAGTGGCTGCCAAGCTCGATATGGAAATGCTCCTTCAATTACAAAACTGTGTCAAATGCTGCCCAAGTCTCTCATTTTTCAGATGAGAGAACTGAGGCCTAGCGAGGAAAGAGATTTCGGAGCAAGGGGCTAACAAAATGGTTACAAAGCTCAGTTTCCTGGGAAACAGATCATGAAAAGCGGTGTCAACTATCTTAGGAGGCAACGTGGATTTTGGTAAAAATGGTCTCTTCCTAGTACACTATACCTAGACTGACTGCAGAGCTCCACATAACTAATGAGGGTGTGATAGTGTCGGGCTTCCCAAATGCAGTGACTTTTTTTTTTTTCTTTTGAGTTGGGGGTCTCCCTCTGTCATCCAGACTGGAGTGCAGTGGCATGCTCACAGCTCACTGCAGCCTCAACCTCCTGAGTAGCTGAGACTACAGACACACGACACCACATCCAGCTCATTGTGTTCCTTTTTATAGAGGATGAGGTCTCACCGTGTTGCCTAGGCTGGTCTCAAATTCATGGTCTCATGTGATCCTCCTGCCTCTGCCTCCCAGAGTGCTGGGATTACACGCCTGGCGCCATGACTCTTAACAGGCATGTCCCCTGCAGGGACCCCTGGAAGCTGTGCTTATGGGACTGTAGAGCATGGGCTGTACCTGTGCCACCATGGGTCCCCCTTCCTCTCACTGAGCTGTCCCTTGGGAGAGGACTGCTCCTAGGATAGTCCTAGGGCTGCTGCCAGGACAAGCCCAAGGAGAAAGAGAGCCCAGTGCTGCCTTGCGGGCTTGCCATGGTTCCTGCCCTAGGGCCTCCCCAGAGACTGATTCCTGGTGAGGCCCATGATTGACTGCCTTGTGAAGCTGATTAGTAAAACCCAAGAAGGGTCCCTGCTGGACATTGCCAGACTTGCCCACTGCTGGTCAGTAATGGGGTGGGGCTAGAATTGTCAGGGGCTCTTGTGTCATCCTGGATATCTCCTTGAGACATAGATCCTACCTGAGGGACCTCTCAGTCTGAGGCAGAAGATACACACACACAACTATAAACAATACAAACAGCAGATGTAAGTGGTGGAAAGTGGCAGGCAGGTTGGCCAAACCACTCTCAATTTCTCATCTCCTCCCTTGCTTGGAGGAGACTATGACCAAAAAAAAAAAAAAAAAACCTCCCAGCTTCCTTTGCAGTTAGGTGTGATCACATGACACAAATCTAGCCAATGAGATGTAGGTATGCATCTCTGGGGAGGATATCCTTTCCCAAACAGAAAGGCAAAGTCACCCAAAAGGAAAAAACAAAAAACAAAAAAAAACCACTTAACCTTGACTCTTCCCTCTTGCCTGGAATATGGACATGAGGCAGGGGCTGCAGCAGCCATCTTGCAACCATGTGGTGTAAAGCAGGAGATTCAAGGCTTACACTAAAGATGGCAGAGCAGAAGGAGAGAAACTGTGTCCTTTATAGTATCATGAAGCCACTGTGCCACTCCTGGACTGCCCAGGTGGGTGCTGCTTATGTGGGAAACAGCCCTTATTTAAGTCACTGATAAACAATGTTCTGTTATTTGTGGCAAAAAGAATTCCCAATGGACACGGGGTGATTGCAATGGATCAGAGTCCTCTGGCCATTGGGAAGGAGAAAGGGGGTTAGATTCAACAAACACAACTTGTTTTACTGCAAACGTGTGTATACAGACATACTGGCACACGCTCACACTTTTCTTTTTACAACCAGCCCCACCCCTCTCTAGACTTGGCCATCTGTCTACAGCTGGGGATTGGCAGGAACAGCAAAAGGAGGAGCCTTGCTATGTATCTAATTTCCAGGGTGGCTAAGTTATTCCCGGATTCTGGAAGTTGAGTGGCAGCCCTCACGACCTTCCCCACAGACTGCTCTCACAGGCGACCCAGGTTGTGGGTGTGCCGCCATGGAACCCCCAGGCCCGGTCCCAGCACTGGCCACTTCACTCTTGGCCTAAGATGCAGCCTCGGAGGAGGACAACCGGGCCACTGCCCTCTCCGCGAAATGGAAGAGACAGACCGACCTCTGCTGAAACCGCTGATCACCTAGATCCAGCCAAATTAGGCCGGGGAAGGCCTGGTCGCACCCCGGGGCACACAGGGCTGTTACCCGGTGGGCATCGCAGTGGGCGACGTCATCCGACGAGAAGAGCACGGCGTCCTTGATGAAATTGGACAGGGCCCGCAGGATGAAGGACACGAACAGGTGCATGTGGATGTAGTTGCGGGTGCAGTGGAGCCTCCTGGAGGGAGAGAATGCAGGGCCACAGGGGTCTGGGCTCGAGGAACTGGGACTCAGCCAGGCCTGCCTCCCTTCCTCCAGGGCACCGGGAAGCTGAGTCCCTGGACGACAGCTCTTTCCAGGTGACATCTGTGAGCAAAACCTTAAAGAGGACCTGGGCCCCAGGTGTCCAGCCTATTCTGCCCCAGGCTGCCGTTAAAAAAAAATAACAAAGCTGGGGTTGTGGAGGGAAACATTATATTCTCACCTACCACCATCTCAGGTTCCCAGACGTGTATTGTGTATTGGGGAACAGGGAGAGGATGGGCGGCCAGAATGGGAGGGGGTGAGAAGCACAGAAAGAACGCAGACTGTGGGGAGAAAGCAGGCTTCGGCTCTGCTACTTAGTAACAATATGAACTTGAACAAGACTCTTCACCTCCCAGAGCCTCGATGGCCTCGGCTTCCTGTGCAGGGACCAGAAGTCTGTGATTTGCTGTGCTTCTTGGGGAACCCAAACCAGCTCTGGTGGGGATGGCTCCACCCTCCTCACAGCCCCGATCAATCAGTGTGCCCCATCACTGACCAGCGTGATTGGCTCAGAGTTAGCTATGTGACCTAAGCTGGACCTGTGAGAACTCCCAAAACTTTGACTGGAACTATAGGGGAAGAGGCTCTTTTTGTCGCTGGTGTTGCTGAGCTGGTGGGATGGACCAGCAACGGACCAACCGGCAGTTGTTGGTGGTCGTCTCTGCCACCCCTGCAGAAAGCCTGCCAGAGGATGAGGCCAACACAGAGCCGCGAAATGGAAGAGACAGACCGACTTCTGCTGATACCGCTGATCACCTAGATCCAGCCACGCCTAAAGATGCCCCTGAACTTGTCACTTATGTGGGTCAGGTCACCTTTGTTTTCCTTAAGCTGTCTGAGGTGGATTTCTGTCTCTTCCAGTCAAGAGTCTAACTAGTATACCTGAAAAATGGGGGTAATGTGACCCGCCTCATAGCAATGTGTGAAAATTAGAAATAATACACGTAAAGCAACTGTCCACACCAAGTTCTCAGTAATGCTCAGCAGATGTTAAACAAATTAAGGAATAGAGGAGGTCACAGAAGCTACAGGTGACCTTTAGATCAAGAGCCAACAAGGTAGTACACCCAGATCTTCCTCTGTCTACCCTGTGTAACTGAGACCCAAAGCCTGTGCCTTGGGCCAGCGTGAGGATGGAAAGCCGGCAGCGTGTTCTCACCGGAAAGCGCAAAGGATGCTGAGGGCAACCAGGAGCATCACCAGGGAGGAGCTGTAGCCCACTGTGTACATGACCTTCAGCTTCAGCAGGTATGAGTGCTGCAAAGAGAAGCACATGTCAGCCCCACCTGTGCACGTAGCCGGCTCTGTCCTCCTCTGCCTCCGCGTAGCTGGAATCCCACCAGTGCTGACTGCAGTCTGTGCAGACCCCAGGACGCCAGTTCACAGACCCATACCATCACAGCATCTTAGCTTTGGAAAAGCTCTTGGGCATCATCTGATGCCAATTTAAACTTCCACCCCATGTATAGGGCCGCTTACCCACACTCTGAGTTCAAGCCCTGTGCCTCTAGGGACAAGGTGCTTACTGCATTTTGAGGAAATCATTTGGTGTGCAAAATACTAGATTTTTTTTTTTTAATGTGAAGCCAAAAGCAATGACGTGCATCTTTTGGTTCTTTTTCTGTCTTCTGGAGTCATTTAAAATAAACCGAGGCCGGGCTCAGTGACTCAGCCTATAATCCCAGTGCTTTGGGAGGCCAAGGCGAGTGGATTGCCTGAGCTTGCAGGTTTGAGACCAGCCCCGGCGACTTGGTGAAACCTCGTCTCTACAACAGATCAAAAATAAAACAAAATAAACCAAATCTGTTCTGTAACTTAAGGCCCGATTTTCATAGAAAAGTTACGAAGATCCAATAGAGAGGTCTGTCCATTTTGAATACAGCTGCTCTAACCCATCTGACCCTCACGTATCTTCTCAGTATTAAACACTCCTTGTGTCTTTCACATCTTTCCACAATCCTTCACAGTATCGCTCAATTAATATGCTCCAGTTTATGGATGTCCTTCTTAGCAAAGACATTCAGAACGACATAGCTGAAAAGCACCAGATGTATTCTCTGACCAGGAAGTAGAATGAAACCATCACCTCCCCTGATCTGTACACTGCACTTCTGTTAAAGCAGCCAAGCAGACACTCATTTATTTGTTCCGCAGCCATTTCACACTGTTGGCTCATCTTTGATTCAGAAAGATCTCAGTGGACCGGAATATTGGGTAAAAAAGTTAAATTGTGGCATGTAGAGATTAAAACCTGCATTTAGGTTCAAAAAGTAAATTGTACAATAGCCTTAAAAAGAATCAAGAAGGCCAGGCCCGTTGGCTCAACCTGTCATCCCAGCACTTTGTGAGGCCGAGGCGAATGGATGGCCTGAGCCCACGGGTTTGAGACCCGCCCGGGCAACTTGGTGAGACCTCATCTCTACAATAAATCAAAACTTAGCTGGGCGTGGTAGCACGCACCTGTAGTTCTGGTTACTTGGAAGGCTGAGGAAGGATCGCCGGAGCCCAGCTGTTTGATGCTGGGATGGCCGTGAGCGTGCCACTGCCCTCCAGCCTGGGCGACAGAGTGAGACTCCAACTCAAAAAAAAAAAAAAAAAAGAATCAAGGAAATAAAAATAATAATGCTATGTCATGTTTTACAATCAAATTAATAAATATTTAAAAGTAATACTTTTTTATACAGGGGAAGGCTTAGTGGGAGTGAAAATTGGTTCAATCTGTCTGGAAAGTAACATGGAACTATGTATTAAGAACCCTTGGAAATATGCATTTCTTTTTTACCTTCCTTCTCTCTCTAGGAATAAATTCTAAGAAATACTAGGAAAATAAAAGCATATGTATATCTAACTATGTTTATCCCAGAATTATTTGTGATGAAAAAACCCCAAATGTCCACAAATATAAAAATAGTTGACTAAATTATTTTAAATCCAAACAACCTTAATGCTATGCCACTAGTAAAATGTTGTTTACCAAGAGTTTAAAATAAGTCAGGGCATACTTATTGGTGTATTGTTACATGAAACGGCAGACTACAAATTTGACATGTACAGTGTGATCCCAGCTATATGTAAAAACAAGTGTTAGGTTGAATTATATAAAATTGTGCCCTTTTTTTGTAGATAAAAAATGTTATCAGTCGTTCCATGTGGTTCAATCTCATGCATGCATAGAAACAAGATTGTAAGGAGATCTGTTAGATCTTAATAGTGGTTAACTTTGGATTACAGGTTTGTGAATAATTTTCTTTTTTTTTTTTTTGAGTCTCACTCTGTCGCCCAGACTTAGAGTCGTGCGCTACCACGCCCAGCTGATTTTTTTTTTTTATTTATTGTAGAGATGAGGTCTCACTGCCCAGGCAGGTCTCGAACCCGCGGGCTCAGGCAATCCACTCACCTCAGCCTTCCAAAGGCACGGGATTACAGGCTGAGTCACCGAGCCCGGCTGTGAATAATTTTCTTGTGAATTTTTTTCTATGCTTCTAATTTTTCTACAATGGATAACTGCCATTTTATAAACTGAAGAAAGGGATGGTTTTTGTTTTTTTTTTTAAAGGCACAAGAATAGAATAAGGGAAACCTGGCTGACAACTGTTCATATGAAAGTAACCTCGAGGTTAAAATGGTCCAAGCTCCACGGTGTCACGCAGTGTAACACAGAGAAAGAAAACAGGTGTCAGAGCCAGGAGTTGAGGGTTCCAGACCCAGGACTATTACTCACCAGCTGTATGACCTTGGGAAAATTACTTAACTTCTCTGAGCCTCAGATTCCTCTTCTCCAAAATGGGAATGATAATATCTACCTTGGTCGGGCTTGGTGGCTCAGCCTGTAATCCCAGCACTTTGGGAGGCTGAGACAAGTGGATTGCCTGAGTCTGCGGGTTCAAGACCAGGCCGGGCAACTTGGCAAGACATCGTCTCTACAATGAATCAAAAAATTAGCCAGACGTGGTAGCGCGCGCCTGTAGTTCCGGCTACTTGGAAGGCTGAGGCGGAAGGATCGCCGGAGCCCAGCAGGTCGAGGCTGCAGTGGCCACTGCACTCCAGTCTGGGCGACCGATTGAGACTCTAACTCAATAATAATAATAATAACAACAATAATAATATTTACCTTGTAGACTTGTTAGAAGAGCACATAAGGTATCAGATAGATCTAGACAGTGCCTGGCACAAGATGCTCAGTGTATGGTAATTTCTCCCCACCCCGCCATCCACCCTTCAGAATGAGTCAGCGGTCTGAGATGGTGTGAAGTCTGAGGCATGAGGTGGCGGCTAAAAATTGAGCCACTTTTCAGTTATGTTTTGGAGTGCTATGGGCAGCTGGTCCCCTAGGAGGGTTTGGAGAGTTTTGTCCACATCTGGGCATGTTATTTTAAGAGACACGTTAATAGACTGGAGCATTTCCGGGGGAGGGTGATTGCGTCATCTGAAGAGTGCATGCAAAAACTGGGTTCATGACACCCAGAAGGGGAAAACACACTTAGAAAAATAACTGACTGAGCCGGGCTCGGTGGCTCAGCCTGTAATCCCACGCTTTGGGAGGCTGAGGTGAGTGGACTGCCTGAGCCCTCAGGTTCAAGACCCACCTGGGCAACTGGGCAAGACCTCATCTCTACAATAAACCAAAAATGAGCCAGGCGTGGTAGCACGTGCCTGTAGTTCCGGCTACTCGGAAGGCTGAGCAGAAGGATCGCCGGAGCCCAGCAGGTCGAGGCTGCGGTGGCCGGAAGCGGCCACTGCACTCCAGTTTAGGCGACAGAGTGAGACTCCAACTCAAAAAAAAGAAAGAAAAAAAAAAGAAAAATATCTGACTGGCATGAAAGAGAACGGTCAGAGCTCACGTGTGAGCTCCAGTGGGGGAAGGTACCAGTAAGGAGGTAGATCTTGACTCAGGGTGACCAAAATTTTTCTGAAAAGAGGTGACCTTCTATGGGAAGGCTGTCACATGTCACTGAGCTTCTCCACGGATGCAGCTGCTCCCCCACAAGCCAGGAACCACCTCTCAGGAACGAGGGTAAGACCTAGTGGGTTGCCTTAGATTCATGGTTCCTAGACTATGGAATATCAAAGACCTGCGAAATGTCAAAAAATTGGGCATCAACACATCAACATATAATCTTGCCATAGTGGGAAAGGATGAGTCTCATAGCAGAGGGTGTCAGCCCCACTCCTGGGGATGCCTGGGCCAGCCTGTAGGAGCTGGAGGAGGTGCAGGGTATGGAGTGTTCAGTGCTGTGGTCATTGAATGCTGGGTGACCTTCAACCTTGCTCTCCTGCAGACCCGTTTCTGTCTTGTATCTGCTAGGCCGGACCCAGAAGGAGCCCTACTCCCAGGAGGCCTGGTGTGACCCTCAGTCCTCAGCAATTTTTTTTTCCCAGGCTAGAGGGCAGTGGCATGATCTCGGCTCACTACAGCCTCGACCTCCTTGTCGCAGACAATCCTTCTGCCTCAGCCTCCCAAGTAGCTGGGACTATAGGTGCATGCCATGATGCTAAGCAATTTTTGAAATTTTTTTGTAGAGACCCTGCCTTCAGAGACCTTTCTTTCTTCCTTTCTTTTCTTTCTTTCTCTTTCTTCCTTCCTTCCTTCCTTTTTCTTTCTTTCTTTCTCTTAAAAAAAATTTTTTTTTTTTTGTAGAGATAAGGTTGATCTCAAACTCCTGGGCTCAAGTAATCCTCCTGCCTCAGTCTCCCAAAATGCTGGAATTATGGGCTTGAGTCACCACACCGGCTGGTCCTCAGCTCTTAACATCTATCACTGTGCATCAAAGAGGGCTTGGGGTCCTTCTGTCTGTGCTTCTGTCTGTGTCTAACTCCCGTCTATGCTGGACACAGTTACTTCTCTTTCTGCTGTGTGTCCTGAGTGTGCCACTGCTTCCTGTAGTCTCTAGAGCAGCTGTCGCAAACCTTTTTGTGGGTGAAGGGACAGAGAGCAAATATTTTAAGCTTCGGGCACTTGTGTTCTCTTTTGCAACAACTCAACTCTGCCCTTGTCATGCACATCTAGCCTTGTAATGCAATAGATTTGGCGGTGTTCCAATAAAACTTTATTTACAAAAGCAGGCGGTGGGGCCACATTTAGCCCAAGGGCTATAATGTGCACACTCCATTTTATTTACTCATATGGCATCTATGCTTGGTCTTTTTGTCAGAGTCTACTATTGGCGTTTCTCAATAATAGTGGTGTATGCCAAGAAAGAATGCTGAAAGAAAAAAAGAAGAAAACTAATGCACACCTTCACCATCAGTTGATAAAAAGAAAAGATATTTTAACAATGAGAAATAGGATGGTTAAAAATCTCAGAATAGCTGGGCTCGGTGGCTCAGCCTGTAATCCCAGTGCTTTAGGAGGCCAAGGTAAGTGGATTGCTTGAGCCCACAGGTTCAAGACCCTCCTGGACAACGTGGCAAGACCTCATCTCTACAATAAATCAAAAATCAGCCGGGCATGGTAGCGCACGCCTGTAGTTCCAGCTACTTGGAAGGCTGAGGCAGAAGGATCGCCGGAGCCCAGCAGGTCGAGGCTGCAGTGGCTGGGAGCAGCCACTGCACTCCAGTCTGGGTGACAGAGTGAGATCCAACTCAAAAAAAAAAAAAAAAAACTCAGAATAAAGAACAAAGTTTGGTGCCGGTCTGTGGATCAGTATTTTGGAACCAGTGAATTATGTGGACAGGAAACCCTTCTAATCTTAGTTTCTTTCTTTTTGTTTGTTTGTTTAATATGAGCCGAAACCAATCTAGTTCTCCTTTCTACCACTTTTGGACAATTAATTTTCTGAGTTAAGTCCAGAATTGTATATCTACTTTTGTTAAATTTCAGCTCCTTAGTTTAGTGTCTTGTAGTTTTAATCCTGTCATAGACATCGTGATTGATGCCTTGGGCTCCATTCTTCCCAGTTGATTAGTCTAAGCCAGTGGTTTTCATTGTGTGGTTTTGACAGATATAAATCACAAAAACTAAAGGTATTTAGAGTCTTCATAATTCTTGTGAGTGTAATGGAAGCTGGGCGCAGTGGCTCACGCCTGTAATCCCCACACTTTCAGAGGCAGAGACAAGAGGATTGCCTGAGCCCAGGGGTTCGAGACCAGCCTCAGCAACTTGGTGAGACCCCGTTTCTACATTAAATAAATAAATAAAAAGAAAAGAAAGAAATTATCCAGGCATGGTGCCTCACACCTATAGTTTTAGCTACTTGGAAGACTGAGGTAGAAGGATCACCTGAGCCCAGCAGGTCGAGGCTGCGGTGGCCGTGAGAGTGCCACTGCACGCCAACTTGGGTGACAGAGACTCTGACTCAAAAAGAAAAAAAAAAAAAAAAAGTGCAAAGGAGTCCCAAAGGCAAAAATTTGAGAACTACTGGCTTAAGCAAATTGTGTACTCTGTCCCTCTGCCAATGACTGATTCAGGATTGGGCGGGCCTAAGTCACTTTGGGCCAGTGAGATGTGAAGCTTGTTGGGGTTTTTGAGAATGTCTTCTTGCTCTTAGGAAAGAACCGCAGGAAGTCAGGCTGTCCTTCCTTCTGGACAAGCAGGAATGGGGAAGTCTATGGCTGTGATTTCTGAGGGCAGTCATTTTACATTGGGAAGGGTGCCAGCCTTAGAAAAAGCCACCAGGATGGCAAGAAGAGACACGCAAATAACCTGATCCTTGGTGATTTTGTGGAGCTGCCTGATCAATTAATCCCAAAGCCCATTTTCTGCATTTCTTATGTGAGCCATGTTTGCTTATTAAAACAGTTAGAAATTTCTGTTATTTGCAGCCCAAAGCGAATGAGCCTCCATACTGCTGCTCATTGTAAGAACATTCCTTCTTAGTTGTATGGCTTTTACAAATTCGATACACATAAGCGCCCTGGCTTCGTTTAAGTGACGATGGCATCTGCAGTGGGCAGAGTGCACTCACCATCCTTTCAAGCCCTCATGTGCCCACTAACATGGTGAGTCCCGTAAGTAAATCAGCCCATTCTGGCCAGATCTGAAGACCTCAAGTGTGTTCCCCAACTGGATGGCAAGCCCTGAAAGGAAGAAACAGTGACCTCTCCCGTGGTCCCCTGCTGACCCGCCTTCATATAGAGCAAGGCAGATAGCATAGAGAGAGCCGTCAGAAAAACTCAAAAGCGAGTGTGGTCTGCCACCCGACTTAATCCTTTCTCCCTGAATTCTGTCACTTCCCTATGCTTTTCTTTTTTCTTTTTGAGTTAGAGTCTCACTCTGTCACCCAGACTGGAGTGCAGTGGCACACTCCCGGCCACCGCAGCCTCAACCTGCTGGGCTCCAGCGATCCTTTCCAAGTAGCTGGAACTACAGGCGTGCTCTACCACGCTCGGCTAATTTTTTTATTTTATTGTAGAGATGAGGTCTCGCCAAGTTGCCCAGGGGGGTCTCGAACCCACAGGCTCAGGCAATCCACTCACCTCAGCCTCCCAAAGGCGCAGGACTACAGACTGAGCCACTTAGCTCGGCTCCTTATGCTTTTCCAACATGCCCCATCCTCCAAGGACACGCAGGGAATTTAGTTCATGGACTGCTAAAAGTGCCACTCCCGGGAGACATGCACCTTAATGGAAAACAGCAGATGATAGCGGACAGGGCACTGGTGCTTTCTGGAGCTAAACTTGGTTTAAATCCTGCCCTCACTACTTTATTTTTTAATTTTTATTTTTTGAGTTGGAGTCTCACTCTGTCACCCAGGCTGGAGTGCAGTGGCACACTCACTGCCACCCCAGCATCGACCTGCTGGGCTCTGGCGATCCTTCCACCTCAGCCTTCCAAGTAGCTGGAACTACAGGCACACGCTACCATGCCCGGCTAATTTTTTGATTTACTGTAGAGATGAGGTCTCGCCAAGTTTCCCGGGCTGGTCTCGAACCCACGGGCTTACCCATGGGCTTAGTGCTGAGATTACAGGCTGAGCCACTGAACCCAGCCCCTCCACTCCATAAGCATGCTCCTCAACCCCTCTGAACCTGTTTCCTTGTCTGCAAGATGGGAAAAACAATGAGCTTACAAAGTTACTTCAAGGACTTAATGGGATTGTGCATCAAGTAGCCGTCATGCAGTAGATGTGTAGCACAAAAACAAATATGAATTGGGAACCGTGTAGGGGCCAAGCATTGCCCTGGGCACTAGAGACTTGGAAACAAAAAGTTCTTTTTTCTTTGTCACTGCAGTTTCCCTCCACCTAGACCCATGACTGTCCCATAATAGGTGCTCAATAAACACTGAGTGAATGCGTGCCTTTGAAGAGTTCATATTCTAGTGAGAGAGCTGGAGGCATGTGGCACTGATCATGATAATAGAACATGGTAGGTGACAGTCGGAGGCCAACAGAGTACTGAGGGAGCCCTTCCTGGGGGGAATGGGAAGAGAGGGTGGAGTTGATAGGCCTGAGTGGCGCCTTGAAGGGTATGTAAGAATCAGTCAGGCTGGGCGCAGTGGCTCACGCCTGTAATCCCAGCACCTTGGGAGGCTGAGGCGAGAGGATTGCCTGAGCCCACGGGTTCGAGACCAGCCTGGGCAACATGACAGAGTGAGGCTCCAACTCAGAAAATAATAATTAATTAATTAATTAATAATAATAAACAATCAGGAAAAGAGAAGAGGAAAGTGTTCTCCAGGCAACAGCCCCTGAAGGGGGAGCTGGCCCAGGTAGGGGACAAGATGGCACAGTGTGTGCGATTTGAGAGACAGGGCCATTCTGGGAAGGGACAGTGACTCCGAGTGAGCTGAGTCTGGCCCGTACCTTGAGGATCACCTACCATGTTATATTGGCCGCCCTTAGAGGGAGCCTTTGGAAGTTCCCGAAGATCTTCAGCCCATTGTTTAGGCGAGCCCCTTCTCTCAACCTATCATGCCCTGCAGCTGGGCTCTCTCCTTGCTTATCAGAGCGAGGAAGTTCCTTGGAAAATGAACATTTTATGAGCACTTACCATGGCCGGGTGCCCATCTCAGCATGGCCATGTCTGAACTCATTTCGTTCTCTTGACAAACCTAGGCAGTCAGAACTACTATCATACACTTCATTTCCCAGATGAAGAAACTGTGGCAGAGAGCGATTAAATCTCCCCCAGCCCCACGGAGGTCAAGGTCAGAATTCAGACTCACCAGCCTGGCTCTGAGCACTTAGCTACCATGTCGCTTCTTTTTCAGTTTGATGAATAAAGCACCCCCAGTCTCATGGCGGTGGCTGGCAATTCTTGCTGTGACAGGGTCCTCCTGACCATCATCTCCGGGTGGACAGGCCAGGGCAGTGAAGAGGTTCACTGAACCCTGGGCCAGCAGGGGAGGTTGGGGAGTGGGGATCGGGGGGCAGCCCCCAGGCCCTGCCTGACCACCGCTTCAGGCCAGTTCCACCCAGTCTTCTCAGGGCCTCCTCACCCCGCAGGTTCCATCCCGGGGTTGGGGGTGGAGATTGACAGGCTTACCCGTCTCTCGTTGGAAGAGGCGTTCACGTTAACCCCACAGGCCAGGTCAGGCCTGGGGAAGATTTCCGACCAGCCGTCCTGCGTACAGTTTCGAAACATGGAACCTGTGGGTGCCAAGCGTCCAGCAGGTGAGCAGTGGGAGTTGGGCACTGTGGGTTTTATTTTTTTTTTTGAGTTGGAGTCTCCCTCTGTCGCCCAGACTGGAGTGCAGTGGC